ATATTCTAGATTTTTTGTTTATCCAAACTTGTTTTAGAAGAAGTGTACAATAGCATATATAGACATACAAATGTAGCACACAATTCCTTTAAGTATTGGAACTCTTCAACTCCAGGGAAGAAGACAATAAAGTTCAAACTACGTTGCGTATATCCTTAAATTTAATTTTTTAAGATTTTTTTTTGTATTTTCATTACATAAAATACCTTGATCAAGGTATGTGTAATACCTTGATAATATTTATCAAGCTATATACCTTTATCAGGGTATTGTGCTGAACCTGTACATGTCTCTGTTACATTTGATGCCCACGTTGGGACCGGGGTATTCTCTGGCGGGTGAGAGTGATTGCCCTCAGATCTTCACCCCACAGGCATCGGCACTCCAAAAGAGATGAGGACATCTCATTCTCTGGAGAGGGACAATGTGGTATTGTAAGATACATAGCATCCTACTAGCTTGGACTAGTGGATTAACCCTTTCGCTCAATCGGTAGAGCACTGGACTAATGCCAGAGGTCCCGGGTTCTATCCCAAGCGGAGGCACTTACATGTCTCTGTTACAGTAGTGTATTATGAATCAATGTGCCTCATATCTTCTTAATCTTTGTTCCCTCTGATGTGATCAGAAATATTCTTGTTTATTTAATTCCAGGTTGCAGAGATTCGTAAAGTACTGAAAGATCTGAAATTTCGTATTGTGGAGATTGTTGACCCTGATGCCATTGTGGAAGGAGGAGATGTACTGTTCACAGGTAAATCTGTGTTACCTTTTATTCACAGTTAAGTGTCACCAACCATGACTAAAACACAGATCCGCAAAACTGAACTATGAACTATTCAAACTGACAGTCTTCATTTAACTTCATTTAACTTAAACTTAATGTTTTGATTTTGGTGTCTTTAATCTTTAAACCAATTTGATTCTTCAACATAAGAATTTTTCCCCCATTCTGATTTTATATGTTACAGGTATGTATATTTGACTGATAATCATACTGATTATCTCAACATTATAATTCATGAATTTTGATTTTGTTTCAGGGAAAGAAATTTTTGTTGGCCTGGGACAGGGAAGAAGAACAAATGAGCGGGGAGTATCAGCTGTTGCGGATGCTTTCCCAGAATACAATGTAAGCCCTGTCCGAATTGATGGGCAGGTCCAGCTGAAATCTCTGGTGTCCATGGCAGGGAAGGACATCATTGCCGTGGGTAACAGTCAGAATGCGAACAGAGTTATGCAGGTAAATATCGTAAATGTCCAACATGTTTCTTAATGGATTACTTATTTTTCTCTGACACATACCATACACATTTGAATTTCATATAAATAATTATTTGTAATATTATCAAGAAGTATGTGATACTAGTGTTGTACCGATAATCAGAAAACATCGATTGTCGACGAAAAAATGCTACCGATTCCAATGATCGATTATAATTTTTCATAATTGATCATTGGAAACATACTTCTAGTACAATACATTCCAGAATTATCCATTTCTGGTTTAAAATTTAATTCTTCTTAATGAAAGAAAATGGTGTTTGCATCTGATACTAGCCAACTAGCATGAAGCAGAGGTGATTAAGAACCGAGAGGTGCACATATAGGGCCTAAAAAAATTATGTTTGTTTCCTGTAACCCGACCGACCCCTTCAATTTACCCTTGGTTGGATTTTTTTCTCTCCCAAATCTGTGTTTGCTCTTTGGTTTGATCAATCAGCTGATTCTCTTTATTCAAAAATATTAATTGTATCTTTTATTTGAGATATAAAATATGCAACTTAGTCAACATTTACCTTAAATCTAAAGAATAATTAATTTCCCCCACAACTTTTTGAAGTTCGTTTTCTGCCGCTAGGCAGCCATGTTGGGTGTCCACTGTAAATATAACATCTGGATAATTCAGTCCTAGGATGATTGACCCCATTATTCATAAGCAAAAAAATCCCGACCTACCGACCCTTGATTTTTTGGGAATGTTACAGGATACAAACAAACATAATTTTTTATAGGCCTAGAAAGTGTAAAAGAAGTAAAACAACAAAGAAAATAATATATAATATATTTTATATATTCATGTTAAAGAAATAGTATGAAATAATTGTAATAGTCTGTTTTTTGTATACAAAACTATGAAATCCGATTATAATTGGTAAAATTGTAGGAGTGAAACGGTTCACTGCGGTATCGATTCACCGCGGTAATTTTTCTCGGTTTGATACACGGTGCAAAATCTCTAATTTTTGGTTCGGTTCATTTTTCGGTCGGGATCATTATTCAGTCGGGTTTGGCATAAGGTAAAACACGTTACTTAATATAAATAAGTATAGAAAACGTAAATTTTTGATGACTGATAGCTTGTAAAATAATTTTTGACAGTCAAATAATTTTTATCAATTTCTTCTAGTCAATTTGCAAATAAAATTCGTAAAATATGTGACTAGATTTAGAAAAAAAAAGCATAAAACAATATGAATTTGTTTCCTTCTATCAAAATATATCGTATCGAAAATAACCGAACCGAGACAAAATTATACAATATGTATCAAATCGTGAAGGAGGTGTATCATTTCACCCTTGCATCGGAAGCAGTAACCGATTCCAACCGATGATCGATTATGAAAATTAACCGATGTCCCATCGCTATGTGATACAGCAAGTTAATATTTTACATTGGATTAGAATAATTTTGCACGCAATCTCAGTACAGTAAAACATGCTTATAAGGAAGTGCCAGGGACGGACAATTTTGCTTCATTATAAGCATAATACGTTATATCCTTTAAGTTTACAATATGTTTTAAACTCACAGGGAATGACAATCACTTCACTGTAAGCATCAATTCATTATAAGTGTGTTCGCTATAAGTGTGTTTTACTGTATTCCCATTTCTCACAAGGAATTAATCATAAAGTGAAATGATAGAATATAATGATATATTCAGGAAGTTTACATTTGCTATGATTTAGAATACTAAACTGTTGATTATATATTTTTGATGACATGAAAATTAAATGTTTTTTTCTTCATAGCAAATCAAGCAAGTGGCACAGTACAGTTATCATATTTTGAAACTTGACAATGATAAGGCAGCTAACATGTTGTATGTAAATGGCCGACTGATACACAGAACCAGGGAAGAAATCGGGGATAGCAGTTACAGTGTAAGTACTCACAATAAAGTTAGTTAATGTAGTAACATTAAAAATAATATACAAATCTATACACTGAGTAGAACTTATAGAGTAGGACCTTGCACTACAGCTAACGAATTAACTCAGTAATGTTAGTTTATTTGACAAATCTATACACTGGGTAGAACTTACAGAGTAAGAACTTGCACTATAGCTAACTGATTAACTAAGCAATGTTAGAATATTTTACAACTCTATACACTTGGTAGAACTAATATATTTTTAAGTTTTCATTAATCAAATAAATTATTTTAAAGCCTTTGCATCAAAAAAAGTTTTATGTTCAAGTCAGGTATTTTCCAAAACTTTGAGACGTGACAACTTTATACAGGATTTCAGTACAGAGTTATTTCTCTTGTTTTAATGTGGTATTTTTAAAAGATTAGGCAGAATACACAAAATAAAGTAAAGGAAATGTAACAGTTTGATTAAAAACATAAATTTTCACATTGAAAAAGAAACAGATTTAATGTCATATTTCTTTGCATAATTTTTGTATTCTGAAGGAATTAATAAATAAATGTATTTATCATGGGTGCTAAGCATTATTTGTACCCGTGGGAAAATAGGCGGGTTTGTTTTGATACGGGTGTTGGATTTATAAAATGATTGGCTATTTATATAGTAACAAGTACGCATGAGTAGAGATGTTATTGAAGGGCGAGTATTGTGTAAATGTGCCATTCGAAGGCTCAGTTCTAAATCAATTCCACCTTTTATCCATGTTACAATGTCCGAGCACGAGGACACAGAGCTGAATCTTTTATACGAAACACCAAATCAAGGCCGCTGTCAACAAGTTTCAAGGGCTCCTGAGGTTCAGTCTACTCTTGGGAATACTAGTAATGTGAATGACTTGGCCGACGCAGTAAGTTTATTCAAAAGCGTCATTGACTCTCTATTTGCTTCTCTATCTGAAAAACTTCTGACCGAGCAGAAAGTTAACGCTAAAAGTCTGTCAAAGAAGATTAAAGAAAGTAAAAGTACACGTATTCAGGGTGAAGGCAATAGAATTCAGTACACTTTTAACGAAGAAATAATTGAAGACCTAGAAAATCTGTCTATCATCCTTAAAGACAGTTCGGCTGTATCCGTCATTAAAGAGATTAAAGAAAAATTGCAGAAACGTAATAAACTCATAAGAATTGCAGATAATAGTCCAGCTGGTTGGAAGACCGTAAGGGAATATGAACAAAACGATTATGCAGACGACTCTGATGACGATAAAAAGATACGAAGTGCGGAGTCACGGGCCATGCGGCAGAAGTTCCGAGGCAGGGGACGTCATACACCGTACAGCCGTCCGGTGTCAGCAGCGGCGGGGTTTCCGGCGCAGCTTTCCTCTGGTAGTTTTGGTGGTTATCCTCTACTCAGTCAGCCCTTTCGTGCCTTTGGGGGTTCAAGGAGAACCCCACAGCCTTCAGACGTGTGTCACAGATGTTTTAAGACCAGACACTGGAAAAGTCGCTGCCCCCTCAATTACACGCAATCCACCACAGGGTCTGCAGGAGCAAGCACATCAGGCGGTCAATGATGATAAGTATTGTTATAGTCCAAGCTGGTCTGGTATTCTCGATATTTCAAAAAGTATCAAGGAAATTTTGATTTCTTATGATAGAAAATGTAATCAAATAAAAGGTAGAGTCAAGAAAAGTTTGTTTCATAATCTCCAGTTTTGGAAAGAAATAGATGCTTGTGATTCGGTTTTTTTCTATAATTCAAAATGGATATTCTCTTGATTTTGAAATTCACCCCCCTTCAAAGCATTTCGAGAATAATAAATCAGCTATGTTGAGTGAAGATTTTGTTTCAGGAGCAGTTCAGGATCTGATAGACTCAGGTAGAGTAATTCAGTTACATGAAAAACCATATATGATCAATCCACTGAGCGTAGCAGAAAACCACGAAAAGAAAAGGCTTATTTTAGATCTTAGTTTCTTGAATAATTTCGTACGGAAAGAAAAAGTAAAATTTGAAGATTGGAAAATCGCTATACAATATTTCAAAATAAACTGTTTTATGACAAAATTTGATTTGCAGTCGGGATATCATCACATAGATATCGATCCTTGTTTTCAGCAATATTTAGGTTTTTCATGGAAGGGTAATTATTTTTGTTTCACTGTCTTACCATTTGGTCTAACTTCAGCTCCATATGTTTTTACAAAGTGTTTGAGGCCATTAGTAAAATATTGGAGAAAAAACAATTTAAAAGTAGTTCTATACCTGGATGACGGTCTTATTCTGGCTATGTCCGAGGCAAAATGTATTTCAGCAACAGGATTTATTAAACAGTCTTTAGTTTCAGCAGGTTTTTTCATAAACGAGAAGAAATCAATTTTCAGCCCTGTACAAGAAATTGAATGGCTTGGACTGGTATGGAGATCTTTAGATTTTAGTTTACGAGTACCAGAATGGAGAATAGTAGACTTAGAAAATTGTTTAGAAAGACTTTTGAATGCATTGCCTAATGTTTCTGCAAGAATTGTAGCACAGTTTACGTGAAAAATTATTTCAATGTTACCGGTTATGGGAAATGTTGTTAGACTCATGAGTCGTGCTTGCCACGTTGCTATAGAGAATAGGGTTTCTTGGGATAAAAAGTTAGATCATGTTATCTTAGATTCAATATTACCTGAAATGTATTTTTGGAAAAAGAACGTTAGATCTTATAACTGCAAAAGCCTTCAGAATTATTCAAGAAAGCATGTCATGATTTTTTCAGACGCTAGTGATGTTGCTGGAGCAGCACATACAGTAGTGTTGGATCAAAAGGTTTTTCACATTGGATGGAGCGAGTTTGAAAAAGAAAAGAGTTCTACATGGAGAGAATTAAAGGCTATAGAGCTTGGTTTATTATCGTTTCACAAAGTTCTTTGTGGAAAAACTGTGAAATGGTTTACTGATAATCAAAACTGTGTAAAAATCATTGAAAGTGGGAGTATGAAAAGTGATTTACAAGAAATTTCATTGGGCATTTTTCAAATTTGTCTGTCTAACGGTATTTCAATCGACGCTCAATGGATACCCAGAAATAAAAAAAGCAGATTATTTAAGCAAAATTATTGATTACGAAGACTGGGGGATAACAGATGAGTTTTTTGAATTGATGACCAGTATTTGGGGTCCATTTGATATTGACCGGTTTGCGAATTTTAAAAATACCAAGTTAGAACGATTCAATTCGTTATTTTGGAATCCTGGTACAGAGGGTGTAGACTGTTTTAGTTTTTCATGGGAAAGGGATAACAATTGGCTAGTACCCCCCATTTCATTGATTGGTAAATGCATTTTACATTTGATTGGAACTAAATCGAGAGGTACTATCATTGTTCCACATTGGCCCTCTTCTTATTTCTGGCCTTTGATTTTTGACGAGTATAATGAAACCATGCCCGTTGTAAAGGAGGTTTTAGAGTTTCGTGAAGGTTACAGAATTTTTAAACAAGGAGATAATAAGAATTCTATTTTTGGTTCTCTGGATTTTTATTCAAAAGTTTTGACAATCAGATTAGATGCAAGAATGTGAAATGGGACCTGATGTGCAAGGGCACATTGCAGAAGGTTTAACATATTATTGGTCCTGGTGCATGCGGTGCATTGCAGATGTTTTTATAAACGTATATATTGTATGATTAGTTGTCAAGAGAGATTTATTGGAAGATACGTTAATCTTATAAGTGGTATCGGGTCCTGATATGCTAGAGGCATATTGCAGAAGTTTTATATGAATAACATTATATACGGAGGTCATGAATAATGAAATGTGTGTATATTTCGATGCATATACATGTAGGTAGTGATATTTTTTTTATAGATGTTTTCAATTACGCGTTTTACAGATATATTCCGCAAGGGAAGGTGGGCAGAAAACAGATCGTACGACAACCCAGAGCTGAATAGACTATCTGCCCTACTACCGGAGTACTGTCTAAAAGGAAAGGCAGAAAATACCAGAAAGAAATATAAGTATGCATTTAATAACTTTTGTGTGTAGTTTTCATTGTTCGAGTTTGTCATTTTTACCTTCAACCTTCAACTTTTACCTTCAACTGATATGACAGTTTCTATGTATTTGGTACACATTGGCCAGAATTTTTGCTCGTCAGCCAAACTAGAGGAAGCTGTAAGTGCTATTTCATGGGCTCATAATTTAGCAGGTTATTCAAACCCATGTCATTCTTCTTTAGTCACACAGGTCAAAGAAGGGGTGCTGAGAGAATGCAGGAAACCGATCACAAAAAAGGAACCTATTTTACCTCTTCATTTATTTCTTCTTGCAGAAAAGTATGGCAATGAAAACAGCTGTCTTCCAGATTTGCGAATCATTACAATTTGCCTTATAGGATATTCAGGTTTTCTTAGATTTTCGGAAATTGTTAACATCAGACGATCCGATATCTCATTCCAAGATCAGTATGTCTCCATATTCATTCCGAAAAGTAAAACAGACAAATATAATGAAGGTTCTCATGTTTGCATTGCAGAGACTTGTACCAAAACATGTCCTGTAAATTTTTGAAAAGATATTTAGAATTAGCGGGAATAGAGAGTTCCTCAGATGAGTTTATTTTTAGACAAATTACATACTTGAAAAAAGCCGGTTCCTTTAAGTTAAGAAATACTAACAAACCACTGTCATATACTAGAGCAAGGGAAATTATTCTTTCTGCCTTGGGGGATATTGGTTTAGATAAGAAAAAGTTTGGATTACACAGTTTAAGGTCAGGAGGCGCTACAGCGGCAGCTGCTTCAGGAGTTAATGACAGAATTTTCAAAAAACATGGCAGGTGGAAAAGTGAAAAAGCAAAAGATGGTTATGTAAGGGAAACAAAGTCAGAAAAATTGAGCGTTTCAAAAAATCTGGGTATATAATTCAATTTTGCCCTATTGTAACTTAACTCTACTTTATTCTTTTCGAAATCTGAGCGCTTCGCCTCCTATTCTATAAATAATGCGTTGTTTTATATGGTAAATGAATTATGTTCGTTTGAGTGAAACGAATTAAGAACATAAATGTATTTATCATGGGTGCTAAGCATTATTTGTACCCGTGGGAAAGTAGGCGGGTTTGTTTTGATACGGGTGTTGGATTTATACAATGATTGGCTATTTATATAGTAACAAGTACGCATGAGTAGAGATGTTATTGAAGGGCGAATATTGTGTAAATGTGCCATTCGAAGGCTCAGATTCTAAATCAATTCCACGTTTTGGCATTATTCCCACCCACCCACCCATTATTACAATTTATAATTTATATTGACTGATTTGTTTAATGTATTGATGTTTAAATTTTTTTTTTTTTGTAGTTTGATGAATGTATATGGATGGAGGTATAAGGGTACATGATGGTACATGAGAATACATGATGGTACATGAGGGTACATGAGGATTGATAATGTATATTATAATGTGTGAATAAATCTGAGTGCTTCGCCTCCTATCCTATAAATAATGCGTTGTTTTATATGGTAAATGATTTATGTTCGTTTGAGTGAAACGAATTAAGAACATAAATGGAGGATTTCAATGTTTTGTAGTTGGATATGGAATTTATTTCACAAGTGGGACATGATATTTTGATATTTTTTGAGTGTGAAGCATGAGTAAAAATTTTTAAAAAAATCCTGTTTTACTAGTGATTGTGAGATTGAAAACTTGTAAACATATTTCAGCAACATATTTGGAGAAACTTCGGCAGTTTTAATTTCTGTGTCAGGATGCTTTATTTACTTTCAGACTGTATTATAACAGTCCAGAGAGTACATGTATTTTTTTTAACAGAACCCATCATGAAGGGAAGAAAGTTGAGAGTTTTGCAGCACTTCTGATATTCTTTCACACTGTGACAAAATATCTCTTTTATTCAATTACAGTATTTCGATGTTGAAAATGTAATAAATGTTCATATGTGGCACACGTTTCCTAAATATCATTTAAAAGTTTTAGCTTTTTTTTTGGAAAAACATGATTAGGTGATCAAAATCAATCTTGACATTTGAATGAAGTGATGTGAAACAGCATCATATATACATATTGATATTAAGGAAATTGATTAGAAAAGCAATGGTCAAGCAATTAAAAGTGGTATCAAATTGATTTTGACTATGGGTTCTTGATGTAATATCTTTTTCGGCTTGAAATAGGTTATACAGAAATTGATAGAGGATGGCATTCCAGTCTCCCAAAAAGAGCTATTTCAGACAGGGGGACCATTCAGAACTGTTGTTTATTGTGAATGAATGTGTCCGAGTTCAAACATATAATCTCCACCCTTCCATCAACAGGTATTATTGTTACTAAGGCATGGATTGGTTGATTTTTGTCATCAAGGCAAGGATTAGCTAATCCTTATTGCCAATGCAGGGGTTGGCTATGGGACTTCAAATTCTCATTTTAAGCTAACCTCGACAGTCAAAATGAATTTACGCTATACCCCCCGTTGTCAAGGTTAAAGTTTTTGGAGCAAGTCCATTCCTAAATAGGTTAACTATGATTTCTATGCTGACCAAATGTGAATGGATGATGCACTTAAGGTTGCACATTACCAGACATACTTTGGATGCTAGATCTGAGCTAGATTTTCTAGATAAATTACCAGGTTAAAGTTTTCAAGCAAGTCCATTCCAAGTAACTATAAGCCCTACATGGACTAGTCTAAACTTTAATGAATGATGCATCTAGGGATGTACACTACTAGACATGCTTTGGATGCTGGATCTGACCTAGAATGTCCAGATGAGTGACCAGGTTAAATGTTTTGGAGCAAGTACATTTCCAAGTAACTGCAAGTCTTACCTGGACCAAACTTGCATGGAAGATGCATCTGTGGATGTACACTACCGGATTTACTTCAGATGCTGTATCTGACCTAGATTTACTACATGTATATGAGTGACGAGGTTAAAGTTTTTAGAGCAGGTCCATTCCCAAGTAACTACAAGCCTTATGCTGACCATACTTGACAGGATGATGCATCTAGGGATACACATTGCCAGACATGCTTGGGATCAGATGCTGGATTTGATCTACATTTTCCAGATGAGTGACCAGATTTAATTATTTGCAGTAATTTCATTTTCAAGTAACTATAAGCCCTAACTGGACAAAACTTGCATGGATGATCCATTGAAAGATTCACACTTCCAGACATCCTTTAGATACTGAGTCTGACCATCATAAAATTAGCTATAACCCCTATGTTGACAAAACTTGAATTGATGATTCATATGGAGAAGCACACTAGCAGACATGCTTCAGATGCTTTATTTAACCTTGATTTTCCAGATGAGTGACCAGGTTGAAGTTTTTTGGAACAGGTCCATTCCCAAATAACTTTAAGTTCCATCTAGACCAAACTTGCATGAATGATTCATCTAACAATATACATTACCAGAACTTTTATTGATGTGAGACTTTGCTTCACTCCTTGATAATATTGGTCGAGATGAGCTTCATAAATTTTGATTACCTATGTTTCTATTTTTCCCCTCTAAATTTATTAACAAAAGGTACTGTTGTTTGCAGATTTATTGCATGACAGATCTAGGTATATTTAAAATGACTAAAAAAATTGCATGACTGACATATTTCTGGGGAAAAAATTGTAAATGTGGTACTCCACATTCACCAAGATGGACATCACAATCAGTGAGCTTTGTGCCTGTGTTGGAAGGGTATTTAAGTAAAGAAAATTAATTTCTGAATGAAAACTAACAAATGGTTTTGCATGTAACTAATATTTTTAAGATAGAGTTCATTGATGACTTTTGCAGGTTGAATAAACCAATGAAATGTTATTATTGCTTGTAAAATTATTTTTATTAGTTTTCCAACTGTTTCTTTAATAAAATCAAACTAAAGAAGATAAAACTTATTGTAGGTTTTAGATGAGAAGATAACATATGCAAAATACAAAGTTCAACTCTCCGAAATAGAAAAGTCTGGTGGTGTATTATCCAATCTTGTCTTATTCCTTAAGAAGTGATAGTGTCTACTATTACTTCTCGAGATGTCACCATGTATTCAGAAGTCAACTTCATGTGAGAAAATGGCTGTATTTCTAAAAAAAATGTGTTTATATACTTTTATATTTATATTAATATATATATATATATATTAACATTTATATACTTATGTTACATGTTAGATGTGCTTTAATTAACAGTATTTGCTTAAATATAGACATGACATGTTTTTCCTTCATATGATAGCCTGTTCTTGACATTGATAGGATTTTCGATTTTTGCAGTTGCACGGAATTTTTCAGAGCTTTTTGCTTGCCATCTGAGATGAAAATAATATACAGAGCTTGTGTTACTTATATGTATTTTTGTAGGAATTTTGCAAAGCAATTGTTTAATATGCTGTAGACCAGTTAAATTGTGTTCATAATTCTCATTAAAGTTTTTGTTGAATTATTCAAAGGAAAAAGTTTAAATATTGTGGTTACACTGTACATGTGTTAATTTTGACAAATGTCATTTAACCCTGTCAAATCGTATTGCTCAGTTGTCCATCAAGATAGCAATCAGATGGCACTATGATTGTGTGATAACATTCTTGTAAGTTTTTTGTGTTTAAATTATCTTTGTTAGGTTGTGATAACTCGGATATCAGATAAATCGTTGTACACATTCCTTTGGACACTTTTTAAGTGTGTGATAATTCTGATATCAGTTAAATCATTGTATACATTCCTGGACACTTATTAAGTTTGTGATAAATCATGGAGTTGTGAAACAAAAACATTTACTGTTTTTTTTTTTTTTTTTTTGCACAGTCAGGGATCTGAAGTTTTCTAATATTCTTTATAATATTGTTACATTGTGTTAAGACACTTTTCATGTACCTTAATATATAAATATACCATGGAGCAATGAACCAGATAGATTTTTTGTCGGATATCACTTTAATATTGTTGCTTTTTATATTTGTGTTTGTTGGTTCTAGACTACTTGTATATAAAACTTTATGCATAAATAAATAATCATGTTCAGAAAATCTTAAATTTATATATGTATGATTTAACACAAAATATTGTATAAATTTATTTTTTATTCAAATGAATTAAGATCAACAACTGTTCTAAGTTAATTTTTTCCATAAAGAATTAGAAAAGAATATAATAATTTAACATTTATTTACGAAGACTATAAAAGTCGCCCGCGTGGCGCAGTGGTTAGAGCGTCTGCTCTAGAGTCCCAGAGTAAGGAGTTGATCCTTACGTCGCGGGTTTGAATCCCACTGTGGGACGTGGAGACCGGTCCTTCGGATGAGACCGTATAAACCAAGGTCCTGTGTCGCAGTAGGTGCTGGCACGAAAAAGATCCCTCACTGCTCAATGGCCGTAAGTGCCGAGTATAGGATAAAATTTGCAGCTCTCCACAAGCAAGTGGTGGCGTCTCCATATGAGTGAAAAATTCTCGAGATTGACGTTAAAACATACAAAAGAAAAAAAACGAAGACTAAAAAATATATCCAGCAATATATACCTGTATGGGGAAAAAATCGTTTCTGATGCATGCATTATAAAATATATAAACTTTTTTTTTTAATGCTTTATTTTTGAAAAAGTTTTCATATACATAATATCAAATAACACAGACATATATGTACAAACACACCCACACCCACACACATCCACACACTCACTGTGCACCTTTCCCAAAAAAAAACCCAACTGTTCAATATTACAGCTATAGTTATACTAATTAGAATTTCTTATATTAACAAATCAAATCAAACATTGCCCATTTACTATACATATTAGTTTTACAATGAAAGTTACTTTCACAATATTTTTCGATTTTTCTATAATACTTAAAAATGTTAATTGCTTCTTTAAATTTAGGTATTGTACATTGAGATCTTGAGTGATACAAGTACTTTTTTCCTAACAAGATAAGAAAATTTTCTAAACAACTTCCATCAATGTTACCAAGCATCACCTTTTGTTTTGAAATTACATAATCATTTTCAATAGCACGATACCAATTTTCAAAATCTCTCCAAAACCTGGTTACATGTATACAGTCATAAAAAAGATGAATCAATGTTTCTGGATCTGTTTTACAGAAAGAACAAACATTATTTTCAGCAATTTTTATCTTGTGAAGAAAAGAATTTGTGGCTAGGAAGCCAATAAGAATTTTATATTGAAAGTAAATTATTTTGGTGTCCTTTGTGCATATGGATGCATTCTGAAGGGAAAAATTCCAGTGTTTTTCTGTGATAGGTTCATTTAAATAAATCTCCCATTTTAATTTTTTGGGCTCTGGTGCCACAAATTTCTTATCTTTTATAACTTTATACAGAAATTTCATACTTGTCACAGACATCATTTTTTGTATAACACATTTCTCTGGTTCTACAAATTGATTACCTCTATCTCTCATATAAACAATTATTTCCCTTTTGACTCTTGATGGTACTCTTGATATAATATTAAAATAGTTTAAAAAATTATTAGTACCAACCATATTCTTGACATCATTAAAACACTTAAATTTTCCATTATCTGTCAATAAGTCTTTCAGTACTCTAAAACCTTTTTCCACCCAAGAGGTGTAGAAACTCCATTTATTTACATCAACAAAATTTCTGATATCAGAATATAAATAATCTAAAACACTCACAGGATTTTTTTTAACAATTATAAGAGCTTTGATAACATCTTTCCAAAAATCATTACCAATGTAATTCAACAACTCTGAAAGTTTTTCTTTGGTTAAATAAAATACAAAATTAATATCTTTTTGATTTAAAATACAGCATAATAATTGCTGCCATGCTCCACTGTTGTCTGTAAGGACTCTCTTTATCCATTTAAGCTTTATATATGATATGAAGGAGGATAAATGAATCATATTTAGTCCACCTTCTTCAATTTTACCTATTAAGGTATTCCTTTTCACTTTTTCCACCTTGTATGCCCAAATAAATTGAAATAAAATTTTATTGATCTCATTAAGAAGTTCTTTTGGTGGATTTGGTAAAGCTGAGAATAAGTGTATAAATTTTGGAATAACTAGCGTTTTAATGACAGTAATCTTTCCTATGGGAGTTAAATCTCTTTTTGCCCATGATGCAAGTAATTTTTTGATAGAATTTATTTTGGATTGATAATTAGTAGTCACAATATTTTCTAAGTTTTCTGTAAATATTATTCCTAAAAGCTTAAAGGTGTCACCACCCCAATTAATTTTTAAGTCTTTGCATAGAGTTTGTTTTGATCCAGCCTTGCTTCCTAACCATATTGCTTGAGATTTTGAAATATTAAGTTTCAAACCAGATGCATTTCCAAATTGTTCAATTAATTTCATCGATTCTCTCAGTGATTTTTCACTTCCATCTAATGTTAAAAAAGAGTCATCTGCATACTGTCCTAGCTTGTTTTCTTTCCCATTAATGGATATGCCTTTGATATTTTCATTTTTCTTCAATGAGATTGCTAGTAGTTCTACTGTAATGATAAAAATATATGGTGCTAATGGGTCTCCCTGTCTACATCCACGTTCAAGATTAAAAAAGGAGGATAAGTTTCCATTATTTATCACACAGCTTGTGCTGGATGAGTAAAAAGTATTAAACCATTCTAATGACTCCCCAAAATTAAAGGACTTTAATGCTTTAACAATAAAATCCCATTCTAATGAATCAAAAGCTTTTTCAAAATCTAATAAAAGGAGCAAACCAAACTGTTTTTTATCTTTAAGGTAATCTATTAAATCATATAAAAACCTGGTATTTTCACCTATAAAACGTCCTTTTATAAAACCTTTTTGGGTATCACTTATAATACTGGTCAACACATTCTTAATGCGATTCGCTATGGTACTAGAACCAATTTTGTAATCTACATTTAATAATGAAATAGGTCTCCAATTTTTCATGTATCTTCTATCCTTTTCCTCTTTAGGAATGCATGTAATTACCCCCTGAGATTGGAACTGTGAAAGTTTTCCAGTTAAAAACCCTTCATTTAAAGAATTCATAACAAAGATACCTATATCATTCCAGAAAAATTTGTAAAATTCCACTGTAAACCCGTCTGACCCTGGTGATTTTTTGTTTTTCATATTTTTTAGTGTCTTTGTGCATTCTTGAAGTTTCAGAGAACCTTCACAATTGTCTCTTTCTTCATCAGATAATTTGACGTTATGTTGTAAAAAGATATTTTCAGACAAAAATGTTTCATTATTTTTATTTTTTTTACTTTTATATAAATTTGAGAAAAAAGACCTTTGTTCATCCAGAATGTCAGACTGATCTGAAATATGTTTACCATCTGAGTTTATTAATTCAGATATTGTTTTATTTAAGAAATTTCTTCTTTCTAATTTACAGAAATAGTCAGAATTTTTTTCCCCCATTTCATACCAGGTAGCTTTTGAGCGTAACATTAAACCCTCTATATAATTTGACCTAGAATTTTGTAAAGTTTGCTTTTTTTCTTCAAGTGTCAAAATATCTTCTGCTTTTCCTGAAGTATTTACTTTTCCTTCCAAATCTAAAATTTCCTTTTCTAGTTTTTTCCTTTCTAATTTTTGTTTTTTTGATCTTATAGATGAATATTCTATTGTTAAGGATCTGATTTTCATTTTCAAAACTTCCCAGAAAAATTGATTACTTATACTAAATTGAATACTCTCCCTTTGCTCAATATCTCCTGATACCCTATAACCCTCAATTGTTTCCAAAATACATTGCTTTACTTTTTCTATATACTCATTTTCATGTAATAATTGACAGTTAAATTTCCAGTAACCTCTCCCTCTAGTACTGTCACTTGTTTTGAATTTTAATACAATTGCTGAGTGGTCAGTTCTATATCCTGGAATTATTTTGGTATCTAATACTTTACTAAAAATGCAATCAGATACAAGAAAATAATCGATTCTACTTTGAATAACTGGGTTTGAACTTCTCCATGTGTACTGTCTTACTTCCTCATTCCAGATTCTCCATGGGTCATGAATTTCAAGTTCATTTTTTATATTCTTTATTACTTCATTTGCCTTTGGATTATTAAGATTCTTAACATTGAAAGTGTCAAGTTCTTTATTTTGAACAACATTCCAATCCCCACACATAAGGATAGACATGTTTTCTAATTTTGTAATTTCTTCTTTTATGTTTTGGAAAAATTCTGGACTATCATTATTTGGACCATACAAATTTAATAAAGTAAATCTAAATTTATTTGCTGAAATATCCATTATAATATATCTACCCAAAGAGTCATGTTTAACTGAATGGATATCTAATTCAAAGTTATTCTTGAAAAGTATTGCAACTCCGGCTGAGCTGCTTGTATAACTACTGAAAAAAGATTTGTAGCCCCACTCTGATTCCCATAACCTTGAAGTCTCATGAGTACTGTGTGTTTTTTGAAAACAGATAATAGAGATATTTTTATTTCTGACCCAGTTAAACACATCTCTACGTTTTTGACTGTTAGAAGAAAAACCTCTTACATTCATACTCAATATACCTAACATTTCTTTGTTGCTCATTTTAGTTTTATCAAATGTCATGAATGAATTTCAGCATTCTTTTTAAACATAACTTATAAGGTATAAAAGGTGCACTAGAACTCAAAAACAACTTTACATACATACACACTCCACACACACTTACATTCACAAAAGTCAACCATACATTTGGCATACCTCGCCTTGAAGTCATAGTCCCACCTGTACCGGCTCCTCCTGCTAATTTGGCTTAATGTAGACAATTTAACATTTGATTGTTTTCATTTTTTTTTTTTTTTTTTTTTTTTTTTTTTTGAATTCTAGGTTATTGTTTTTTTAAGCTCTTAATATTTGGTCAATATTATCCATGACATCAATTCGGTGTCTGTGTCCACTCCTATCCAGAACAAAAATGTGACCATTGAAGTACCAGGCACTATCCACGAGATGCTGTTTATTCTCCGCTTTTAAGGTTCTTAAGAGCTGTGCATTCATGCTGGTGATGTGGTCTAACATGATGAAGTCATCTTTGAGCGTTTCGCGTTTTGTAATCACAGATTTTCTCGCCTCTGCTGTATTAAACTTCACAATCACAGGACGCGGGTGTTGTTTGTCACTGGATGGTATCCTGTGAATGGCAAGGATTTCCCGCACATCGAGGGTAATGCCTGTTCTCTGAGCCACGATGGTACAAAACTCTTTCAGTTTTTGGCCTTGTCGTTCAGGCCAGTTGAGGATCTTGATATTGTTCTTTTGCGAATACTGCTGGTTAAAATTGGCCATACTGACTGCTGTGTTGGCTAGCTCATTTACTGTCTTCAGCTTGGTCTCCAGTTTACTGATTTGTTTTTTAAGTTTCGAAACATTTTCCATATTGGTATCATTATCCATCATGAGTCCATCTACTTTGTCTGTTAACTGTTTCCTTATTTTAGCGACATCTTCAGTATACTGTTCTTTCTGTGACTTCAATTCCTCTTGGATCTCTGATTTTATATCTTTCAAAATCTCTTCCTTTATACTGACTGTCAACTCCTCCTGTAATTCCTTCTTGAGATCTTCCTTAAAGTCAGCCACTACACTTCTAACAATTTCCCTTATATCATCCTTTGTAACTATCTTTTGTATTGACAGCTGAATTGATGCCAACGCACACTTTATTTCCTCAATTTCTGAAGAATCTTCTTCCCCTGCAGAGGAAATCCTTCTCTGTTTCGAAGCTGGTTTTGAAGATACAATTTGTGATTTTATCTCTGATGGCACTCTTGTAAGAAAAAGAGTTGATTGCTTAAGCAATGGAACAGAAACTTTCTCATTTTTTTGCTCTTCTTTTGTGTCCTTGGCCTGTTGATCAGCCATTGTTACACTATACAATGGTTCAATGAACACTGTCTCTAAACACTGCACACACAAGGGGTTACCTGTTTTTTTTACACTACAACTCCAGGTACATGGAATACATGTGAACACAGCTCAGTGCTTCCATTAACACTTAACACTTAATACAAAATAATAGATTTTCACAAAGTCCACTTTTCCAAATTTTCTTATATAAACAAATCCAGCCTTTTTTATGGATCTATACCACACACTATTAAGTATTTTGTCCACCAAAGAAACACTTTAACACTCTAAAAATCCACTTTTTAACAGAGGAGCAAAAAACACCACCTCACTCTACAAGCATGACCTTGACCTCAAGATATATAAACTTTGAAACTTGAATTAAACTGCAAAATTGATCATCTTTTAAAACGTAAAATAAGTGCTGAATAGTTCAAACTGTTAATTTCTGTAAGAATGACCTCCTCCTTACTGACAGGAAATTTTTCCTCTAGCGTTGACAATATTCCACCCTTTGGGTGGGATAAAAAATGAATTTCAAGCAAAAGTTTACAGTGTGTGGCAATTTTTAAAACGACCGTGTTTAAAGATAAACATTTTACAAAAGAAAGTTTCATCAATTTTAGAGTTATCTCTCCTACCGGGGGTCACCTCCACCTTAAGTTATTTGCAGTCACTCAGTAAAGTGAATAGACTCGCAAATCCAGAGTAAAAACATTTTGTTGCTAGTAAACTGAAGACAACTGGTAAAGATGATTTCTCTTTTGGAATTCCATCTCATTCTCGTTTGTCATACAATTTAGTTGACAGTCAGCGCTTATCGTCTATAGTCAGTAAAACATCCAAATATGAAACAGGTGTGGCTTTTATTTAGAATTCACTGAGATATATCGAGTCGACATATAAATGGAAGTACATTGATAAAACATCGTCTATATATCCGAATGTCGAGTTGAAGGCTATAGCAAGTGTATGTTTTTTTCTTCTCGTGTAGAAGTTTTCAAATAAATTTTGCTTCATAGGAATAAAAGAAAACAGGTCGGCTAATAAGGGAACAAAATTAGTGCCCATCGGCATTCCAACATTTGTTGGAAGACCTGGTCTCCAAAGACCACACAGATTTTGTCAGTGAGGAACCCCGTCATCCTTTTAATAATTTATCAGGCTCCGTGTCAAGTGTCAATGATACTAAGACGGTTATGCATATACATGTTCATTTTATGCATTAATACATTTGTTTTAAATTTCATGAAAAAAAAAATCCAGATCATTCATGTACTGTTAAACAATGTTCATGAATTAATAAAATTTTTAAATGTTTTCAGAAATAAATTTTCCATGCAAGAATAAAACTTCTTTGCTTTCAATATTTAAAGTCCATATCAGTCTCTTGGAAGGTGTTATACAAGCTTTATTGTTATATTTTTGGACAAACAAGGAAAAAAACAACACCAACAACAACTATCTTCGACCTCCTGCGTTTTGCATTGAAAGCAAACTTTAAATTTTTGGTTTGAGTTAAGTGTATTTTTTTTAATATGAGCAAAAATGCAGAGATTAGATATGTTTTTCCTCTGATCATGGTTATTAAAAGTGGTGAGCAACATGAAGCGTTCCCTTCCAAAGTTGTGTTGAATGTACTGCATGTATTGGTGTCGTATACTAAACGTTCAGCAAAGCAAACTTCTCACATTTTTGGTTGAAAATCCTGAAAAAAATCTGCTCGATGATCGATGAAAACGTTGCACACGATACTAGACGTAACCGTGGTACATCGAATTATACAGAGAAGTTACTCTTTAAGATATTGAATCAATTTTTCATTTATTTTTTATTTTATTTTTGTATTTTTTTCTTCAATTTTTTAGCTCATCTGAGCTGAAAGCTCAAGTGAGCTTTTCTGATCATCTGTTGTCCGTCGTCCGTCCATCTGTCTGTCCGTCCGTCTGTAAACTTTTCACATTTTCAACTTCTTCCCAAGAACCACTGATCCAATTTTGACGAAAGTTGGTACAGAGCATCCTTGGGTGAAGGGGAGTTTAAATTGTTGAAATGAAGGGCCAACCCTCCTTACAAGGGGAGATAATCTTAAAAAGACAAAATAGGGTGGGGTCATTAAAAAATCTTCCTCTCAAGAACCACTGGGCCAGAAAAGCTGAAACTTATGTGGAAGCATCCTTGGGTAGTGTAGATTCTAAATTTAAACTCAAGTACATTAGTAAACTCAAATTATGCTATAAAAGTATTAGAATATTAATAGTTCTCTTATACGATTAATATGGAAATTATTTAGTTTGTATGGATTATATAGTAAATATCAAGGTGGGTACCTAAACTATTACGAACTGTTGCCAAAGGCCACGCTTAACCAGAAAAACAGCTTCTGAATAATTTTATTTGGGTATGACTGTACCTTATTACATTTAGATAATTTTGGTTAAAGATGGTCTTAATATGGGAAATGATAAAAATATATATTCAATTTTCCTTCTCATTTCCGTAGGATTTACTAATCTGTCTAAAATTTATCATTAGAACAGCAATGACTTCGTGGCGCAGTGGTATGATCGCTGGGCTGAAAATCTTACGATTCCGAGGTCGAGACCAGTATTTTCCATTCATGTGCTTTTAAATTTTTCTCTTTTTTGGCGTTTCTATTCTACTTAAAAAAAAAAAATTTTAGAATGAACACAATTTCGAAAAGTTCCAATATACACGTTACACTTTGAAAGTATCTCGGGAAAAGATAGTTCTAAACTATTTTATTAAATTTTACAAATTCATACCTTCTTGATTTATTGTTAAATATTTTCTTAACCTTTTGTCTCGAAATTAGAGTAATGAGCATGTTAATGACTTTTATATGTATTACTTGCACTTAAGAAAATATAATACACGTCCACAAATGATATTAAATATGTTGGCTTTCAATTGAACAAGAATGTCTATAAATAGAAACGGGTGATTTCCTTTAAAATTCTCGAGTCGGCCGTGTCATCGGCAAGGCAGCTATGGTTCTTTACATACTTTGTCACTGGTCATTTGCAAAAAATATTTTGTTAAACACACAAGTACACCGAAGTTGATATTAAAAAGATAGTTGAGTTTCTGACTGACAATATATATGGAGTTTTTGGAGATCAAGTCTTCCAACAATCTGTTGGAATTCTCACGAGTAATTGCGCCCCTTTATTAGCAGACCCATTTTTATATTCATATAAAGCTAAATTCATTCAAAAACATCTACACGAGAAGAAGACAACATTTGTTGTTGCTTTCATCTCGACATTAAGATATATCGAAGGCGTATTATCAACTGACAATAGTTGCTTTCATTCAGATGTCGAATATATGTATCACAGTGAACTTGAAATAAAGGAAACAACAGAGTCTGGCACGTCTGTTTCATATTTGGATATTTTACTAGAGAAAGATGTTATTGGTAACGCAACAACAATACTTTATGATAAACATGATGCCTTCAACTTTTCTATCGTCAACTTCCCTTATTTATATAGCAATATACCCTTATCACCTGCAAATGGAGTTGATGTCTCCAAGTTGGTTCGATACGCAAGAGCATTCTCTACGTATGAACAATTTCTAAAACGAGGCAAGCTATTGACAAACAAGTTGATGAAGCAAGGATATCAACAGTCTCGTTTGAAGTCAATTTCGCAACTTCTGTTGTCGATAGAATGACATTGTCAGCAAAACAATCTATCAGTAAGTCGAATACTGACTGACGATTTCATACTAATTGTTAAGTCATTATTTACACATTGAATTGTCGACGGACTTTCCTGTTTGCTCGATCATGACAAGAAGCACACGGCGGGTGTGACCGGTCGACATGGGATACCTACTCCCCCATGACACCTGATCCTACCTCTGATGTTTTTAGAGGTCGATCCGTGTTTGCTCTGCTCCCAATTTTTATTGTTTCGATGGACTTTTGAGCTTGATTATTGTTCATTATCTCCATATTTCACAGTAATTTTGAAATATTCCTTTCTTAGATTTTCGGAAATTGTAGTTACTCTGTAGCCTTTGGAGATTTCAAAAAATCCATTCGTTTATATTCGTCGAATCTCAATAAAGGGGGTCAAAGCTTTACACTGGAAAAACATTTTCTATGATCATTATCTAAAGATCATGTATTTTAAATATGGAAATACACTGTATATACATATTTTCCTATGACGACACTTGAAAATAAAAAATTAAAAACATGAACAGGTGACTATTTTGATAACTTGTAAAATCTTATGTGTTTTTTCTACAATAAAACTCTAAATCAAGATAAAGTCAGTTCTCCATGATTCTTGGACCAGTGTAAAGACGAATAAAGACCCCTTAGAAAATGATTTTTTTGTAGGTGACAGTTTTCTACATGTGAAACTTATAAGAAAATGATCTATTGTGTTCTCAGCACACAATAAAAATTTCACAATAGATACTTAACAGTGGCTATTGGTTAAAACTGTTATCTTAATATTTCTTTATCATCTGTTTCATATTTGGATATTTTACTGATTATAGACGTTTATGCCCGACTAACAACTAAACTACAAATGTATCCATGGCAAACGGAATGACTTTTGAATCGTCTATTCCATCGGCAACTTACAAGTATTTATCTAGTTATATTCCACTATCGCCTGCACGTGGTGTTTATGTCTCCCAACTTATTAAGAACACCAGAGCATGCCCTAAGTACGATCAACTTTAAAACAGAGACAGGATACTGTCAAATAAATGATGTTACAGGGTTTCCAACTGTCTCATTTGAAATCAGCATATTGAAAATTCCTGAGTCACTTGTAGCAAATACATTTTTTTAATTTGTAAGGTTATATATTTTGTAATTTTAGAAAATTGTTTACTCTAACAAATTTGCCAAAATCTCCAAATACTTGTTTCAAAATTTATAAATACCGAACATAAATTTATATAAGGCAATTGTACTGTGCCATTGAAGCCCAGAAAAAAAAATATATAGTTATTCGAATATA